CGGGGATGGCGGTGGGAGCAGCCCTCACGGGGATGGCGGTGGGAGCAGCCCTCACGGGGATGGCGGTGGGAGCAGCCCTCACGGGTGCCAGGCGAGTGCTTCAAGAGACAGATCTACCGCCCAGCTCCTGCTTTCCTGGCTGTTGGGCAACCAGGAGCGATTTTCCGCCTTCTGCCTTTGCCTCCCGGGTTCCCTTCTTGCCTTCCTAGCTGGTCGCTATTCCCAGTTAAGCAGAGTTTATTTGGACCTCTTAACCGGTTGGGGAAGCCGCTTGCTCTATGATCCCCTGCAGGGGCGGTGGATTAAAAGTTGTCATGACAAAGCTGAATTGTCCTGGGAGGAGTTAAGAGAGCGCTTCAAGTGCCTCTGCCAGGGATCCACAGTGCTTAAAGAACAGACCCAAGCTGCTCTGAAACTCCTGAAGACACRGGATGGAGACTTTGAAGTCCGTGGCCTAAGTGTGTGGACAGACTTACTGCTGGAAGTAGAGGAAAAGAGTGCTAATGTGCAAACACAAAAGCAACGTGAACAGTTACAAAAGCGAGCAAATGTGGTTAACTTTATTTGATGTGAAAGGCATGACAACTACACTGACTTTGTTGAAAACCAAGCATTATTGTGACTGCTGATCACAATGGTTCTGRCTTCATCTGGTTCTGACATCTTTCAGTGGGGCCCAGTAGTTTCTTGTTATTGTGCAGTCATTTCTGGTTACCACAGAAAATACATTCCTTTTCAGTACTCTTTTATTTATCTAATAAAATAAAATTCTGTTTAAAGTACAGAGTGGTTTTTCAGTTCAAAAAACATCGCAGTTCAGATATGGTCATGGTAGTCATTTCTCTGAGTGTTGGAGGCTGACCAAAGGCTCAAAAGGAGGGTGGAGTTTCAAATGTGAAACCCCCCAGATTCAGGTTTTTTTTAGTAGTGGTTGTCTTCATTGGGCTTTCTGTTCTGGTGGCCACTTCAATGCTTCTCTACCTCTTACACATGACAGCCCCAGGGTCAGTGATGAAAGTGWGAGGAAGCCAACTGGAAAGCTGCTTGAAAAGTTCTAACATTAAAGTCTATTAGTTGCTATGTTATTTGATAATATGCAAGTATTTTGTAAGAATATATCAGTAAAACATAGGATGTTCTGTATGGTTTTCTTTCCGTTTCCATAGTTTGTTAAGTGATTGCTTTGTGAAGCAAAAAAGTGAGGGAACAGCAAACTTTATTATATGTATATATRRTATGTATTGTATATTTAAAATGTCWATATATTTRTATAAAATATTATGTAATGATRTATATAAAATATGTAATACATAGTATATCTCCGCCTTTTTTGTTTTCTGTTTCATCTGTTTCTGTGAGGAAAACTTGAACAAGGTAGTTTCGACCTTTCCACTGTCATTAAAATGAGTATTGTAGCACAGAAGTGATGAGTATATTTAACTTCATAAACTAGTGCTACCAAAAGTGGGCACTGTAAAAAGTAAACAAGGAAGATGAGGGAAACATATGGAACTCCTGTAAAATGAGTTATTCATTAATCTTTTGTGTGGAGGACCTGTCAGAGTTCCTGTAGACCATAATCCTACAGTTTCAAAATCAATTGAGATATCTCTTTCTTTTCTTGCAAATGCCCTTTGGAAGGGGCTAGAAGATTCTGCTTATAAGCTTAAAGCAAGCAAGATATTAAATGTATAAACTGTTTTGAAGCCAATTAGAATAGTAGTATTATGACAAGAAATAGTGTTTATAACTATGGCAGATATTTCTGTATGGCAGACCTAGAGTGGGAAGGATGTTGTAGTTTTAAAATGGAAGCAACTAGTACAAGGGTTGAATAGTGTCTATCAGGGAAAAGGAATTATTTGAGCATGTATGGAAGTAATTAAAGAAATATGTAAGTTCTTATTCTTCACCTTTTAAACAGAAGAGATACAAAGGGGTAGCACACTTTATTATATTTAGAAGGACAGGCTACTAACCTATCAAAATACAACTTTTCTCTGTGTTCCTTGTTATGTTGTCTTAGTGACACAATGAAGTTATGGAGATCTGTGGATGGACATATTTTAAAAGCTGCGACTGTAGCAGCTGTCTTATTCTGTCTTAAATGGAATTGTGGTCAGTCTTAAAAGACACAAATGTATCAGTGGATCTCCTGACTGAGTCCGTATTTCTGTGGTATCAAAAAAGAATATGAAATCTCTAAAAATCTGTCTGAAATCTGTCAGTGTTTAAAACTGCTTAGAAGTGTAAAGCATGAAGTTTGAATTTATGTTGTCTAGCCACAGTTCCCTGTGTTATGTAGTTTTGGCATTTGGTGTGGAAACTCTGCACTTGAGCTTGCTCTTAACGCTTTTAACAGGCACAAGATTTTTTTGTCTGTTAGAATACTTTTTGCTATCAGAGGTTCCTCAGGCATAATATACCCAAAGATACTAGTCAAAGTCATTTGCTTCTCTCCAGCTATACATTGTGATTATCAAATATTGCAATAACCTTACAAGTGTTATAGTATAAACCAAAACTTAGCTATTAAAACCTACTGTTCCCAGTACCTGAGTCTCTGGACAAATTTCAATGAGAGTTAAGTCTTAGTTTTGCTTGTCAGGGTAGATACATTTCCTAATTATACTCAGAATATTCTCTATGAATTAAGTCTCTTAGCAGCTTTTAAATTTGGAGAAATCATGTCCTTGTAGGAAGTTTCTTCTTGCAGTATTTCAGTCTTGCTTTTTGATAAGCTTTGTGTTATAAAATTCAGTTCATGAAGACAGATGCCTTCAAATAATGTGTCATTCCACCTTTTTTTTATTAGTTAAGTGAAACTACAGAATCCTTTGCTGGCACAGCTAGGAAATAATAAGCACATTAGTGTGACTTTTTTAAGAAAATAAAGAAGTAATCATGGGCATGGATAGGCAGGAGACAGGCCAGTATAGACCATATATATTTGATTTCCAATTCTGTCTTATAGTAAAAGCTAGTTTAACCTCAGTGAGACAAAAGCACCTGGTTATAGCAATTTCACAAAAATGTTCCAATCTGTCCCAAATACATTATAAAGAGGTGCCAGATCCCTGATTACCAAATTCCAGAATCCATATGGCATTCATTGAACAAATACACTGGTCCACATTCCCTATTATTTCAGTGTGCTTGTCRAGTTCTCCAGGTAGCTGTGCGAATTATGATTAATTTTTTCTGGAACTCCATTTTTAATAAAAGTCTAAACAGGAAAGGGAAAAGTGTGATGTCTGTAACGTCTTCCCTCCATGTATTTGCAGCTCGTATTTGCAAACTCTTGACAATCTCAACTATCATGAGAAGCAAGATACTGTAAATGACTGGCTAAGGCCTCTTCCCCAATCGCCTTCCTCTTTTTTTTTTTTATTGATAAAGAGAAACAGATCCCTGCTATTTATTAAATGATGAATGAGGAAGCTCCTATGCTTGTGTTTTAGAAGATTRGTAAGGGTTGTGGAATGCATCAGGAGGATCTTATTTGCCCAATTAATAGCTAAGACAGATACATTTTCCTGCTATTGATGTTTTTKGRTTTTTTTTTCAGTAAGAGAAAACAATTTACCCCTTKTCAAAGACAACTGTAACTCCACAAGTGACCTGCTAAGTGATGTCTGGATATAAAGTTTTCATTTTTCTGGTGATGTGCCTGTTCTCTAGTACTAGGAAAAATCTAGAAGAAAGCAAATGATCTGTTCTAGTAGTTTGCAGTGTGAATGTAGATACTAAAATAAAGATAAATTGTGTAAAAAAATTTGTTCATTTAGGGGAAGAGTATTAGCAAATTGGTACTATTCAGGTGAATATACAAGTCTGATTGTGACAATGCATTGGCATGAACAGATTTGAATAATCACAAGTATAGTCTGGAAAAATAACTTTTTAWCAGGTAATAATAATATCAATCCTTCTCACAAACAGTTTGCTCTCAGTGTTGTATCCATCTCATGAGGAATTAAATGCTGTTTTTGCCAAACACATTGTTCTTTATGAATCAGTTAYGTGCCTGTACTGAATTTCAGATTAAGAAGTGATAGACAATCTGGAAAAAATAATTACATGTTCTCCCCTACGTACTTCTTTTAAAAAAGTCTCAGGTTAAAAAAATGACTGTAGCAATGAACTAGACCAGAGATAAACACACAGTGAAGGTGCATGCTCTTTGATCATTTTCCAAAGGTAGCCTACAAAGATGTTAAGCTGATAAAAATAGCTGTTACTTCAATATTGGAGTCATTCATGTGCCAGCACCACTTCAATTCCTTGCATGCCAGTACCTTAGAGTTACTGATATTATYTTATATATTTAATTATATGTCAATAGTTTTCCATTGCATCAGTTCTTTCACAACTAGGGATCTCTGTCCCTAAATCTTYAGAGTGACTGGCATTTTATTTGCAGTTATTTTGATTCACTCAGGTACCACAGAGGGTGGCAGCAGAGCCTCTCTCACAGATACACTCAGGCTTCTGACCCAAGGGGAGAATCCAAGCTCGGGTCATTTCTAGGAGCAGAAGAGATGCAGGGAGTAAACACCCACTGTTGTGTTATCCAGTCAAGCTTCTRGTTGAAAAATCCTATTGAAAGACTRTTTTGTCCTTGCAATTCTAATTTTACTGCCTCTTTACTGTAATCRAGGATCAGGTAATAATATAAACCATATCCTCTAACTGTCTGTATCYACAGGCCCATTTTATTAATAATATTAGGTATGCAGCTCTTAAATTCCTTTTCTATTACATGATAAATTCCATAGTATTATGTGATCAATTTACTGTAACGCTTAACTAGTACACTTTACCAGAAATCAGCAGTGTGCAACAGAAAATGTAGCAATCAAATTCTGAATTTTGTCTTGAACTGCACCTTCCTATTATATTTCTTCCTCTGGGAAGAAGGTTCAGGATGAATGCTCAGACCTGGGTTATTCACAAACACTCTAATCCCAGCATTTGATAAAGCACTATTTCAATTTTTGGCAATTGTCATGAGTTTTAAATCCCACCGCAAAGATTGTTTGAATGTTTGCCTAAGAATAATTTCCAGGAATGAAATATGTACTGCTTTTACCTGCACATTTGTATCATTGTTCCTCTTATGGTGTGTTGGACTCAGAACAGGAAATCATAATTGAGGTCTTGAGTTCCTGTGCAGAGTTCTTCTCTCAAAATAAAGTTAGCAATGGAAGAAAATTACCATGTGCTTTCTATCGTGCATAATAAATATTACACCCATTAAAATAAGCTAACAATGCAAGACTAATTGCTATATGATTCAATTTTCCATTCAATGCATAGGTAAATACTTGGTTTTAATGCTGAATAACTGGGGAAAAATGTATTTGTTTTGCTCTCTTAGAAGGAGATAATGAATCTTCTTTAAAGACCAGTGGGCTGAAATGTGAAAGCAGCCTCTCTTTCCAATACTTATAGTCAGTGGAGTCATTAATATTTYCTTATTAATGTAAATGAGCTAGGTAAGAACAATTGATTTCCTCTAGGAATTAATTGGGCATGATCAATCCCTAAAACAAGTGTGACAACAAGGTCGTTCATCAGCTGCTTAATGCTGCAATAGCCTAAGCTTGCCCTTTCAGCTGGGAAAAGATGCCATGCCCTGGAGAAAAGGCTTTTAAATCATTGTGCTATTGACAGAAAAAAAAAATGTGTACTGTTGTCTCTCACAAACTCATCATTCTTAATGCTGAGGTGAAAGTTGCTGAGTTCAGGTATTTTGTAATTTGCCTTGCTCAAGCTTTAGTTTTTAGGGTAAAAATATAAAGTATGTATAGGAAACTGTGGGTCTCATCAGTTATGAGGGGAGCTTCAGGCATTGGAAGTGATATGCAAACAAATGTCATAATTTAATTGATGTCTAAAACTTTTGAGGAAGATTATAGTGTTTTTCAATTATACCAATGAAATAATCTGACCCATCACTCATTTGTTTGCTCCAAATTAGTTTGAACACTGAATTCACCTCCAGTTTGCCAGTATTTTGCTTTTTTGTTAAGGGGTTTTCTCTCTCCCTAATGCAACAAAAGCACCTTCCCTTTTATTCTTCATAAATGTGTACAAAATCCTGCTCAGCTTAAAAGATAATATGCATCAAGGGAACACTAGGGTGACCATAATGCAGAAAATA